TTATAATAAACATAACACTCACAGACAGATGTTCCCAGTCAGTCAGGAAAGCAAAGTGAGAAGGGTTTATCACTGCCGACATGTGGCTTACTAACTCAGGAATTTGTCCAAACTACGGAAGCCTTGTAGGACAAACTGTAACATACTCAAACTATACTCTAGGGGGCAGTACATCGGATATTTTTTATGCAGGCCGATAAAATCCGATACTCATTTTTTGGCTGATATCGGACCGATATCAGTATCGGATCAGGACACCCCTAGCACCTATAGTGGTGGTGCTGGCTTGACCTCTGCTACTCTGTTTCCTGCATCAGAAGTGTGGGAAAGAAAAATGTTCTCCATGAAACAGTTTATTGGCAGGYACAACACTCCTGTTGCTCAGGCCATTTAAACCAGTATGCTGGTATACGGAATATTCATATCATAACTAAAATAAAAAATGGTTTTCAGTACAAACCGGTATTTTTCCAAGATCTGGTTAACTTGCCCTGTTCATGGCACCACTTTGAACTCAGCCGCCTCAGCTCTGTTTTGAACAGAAGCCAATGAACCTGATGCTAGAATTTAAGCTGTGGTGCAGGAGAGTCCAATACCCATGTCTTTGCATGGCAAATGTTAAAGGAATCTACATTTTTTTTGGTGCACAATATTACAATACTCCCTCAGTGTGTTCTGCCTTTGGGTGATTGAACCCTTTAGGCTGTGTGTGAGGGCGCAAACATACCCACTAGTTCCAACATCTAGGTCGTATTCAGACCTGATAATTTGCTCCGCTTTAAACGAACCAGAGTTCGTTTCCAGCGTTGGTCCGGACCTTTTGTGCAGGTGTGAATACACTCATGCAAACTCTGGAGCGGATCAAACAACCGGGCCGAGACCTGCTTTTTGAGGTGGTCTCGGTCCGCTTCCAAACGAACTCTGGTGCGGATCAAACAACCGGACCGAGACCTGCTTTTTGAGGTGGTCTCGGTCCGCTTCCAAACGAACTCTGGTGCGGTTCACTTTAGCTCTCTTCTGGTGTGAATACAGACCGGACTCTAACCGAACCAACTGCATTAAACATGCACCTTTTTGGACTTCACAGGCCACCGTTCCTGAGCTAAATAAACTGAAATCATACCTGTTTCGTCATCTCCTGTTAGCAGCTCTGCTGGCAGCATGTTGTGGGTCAGAACACGCAGAGCACCTCGTCTCCTTTGGGTCGGGGGACACATTTACTGACGCCGCTCCAAAATTAGAATATCATCACGAAACCACCATTAAATTAGCTGCTTCTGACATTTTAAATGCTATTGCAGTTGTACTATCAGTAAAAATGTGCGCATCAGAACTGCAG